GTTAAACTTCCTGGCTCTCTTCCTAAGCTGCAGATCCAGAAGCTGAAGTCTTGCTCTGAGGGTGGAGTCTTGGGTCTTCTGATGCTAATGGATACTCGGCTGAGGGTAGGGCCAGTGGTTTCTCCTGGCTTCCTCCCTCCACGGCCCGAAGCAACTTTGTTACAGTCCTACTGTGAACCACATGCCCAACAGCCGGGCAGGCGACTTTACAGCTGCAGCAGCAGAGCTGGGGTCAGGTCCAGTACTCCTGCATTTTGTGGGCAGTGCTGGTCAGCACACAGGCGTGAGCACAGGGAAGCCGGACATACTGTCTCCTCGGGGCCTGCGCCTGACTTGGTGCAGTACAGGGGATGTTTGTCCTTTTCCCTTCAGAGCCAGCCCCAGGCAGTCAGGTGGGGGACACACACTTCCTCCGGTGGATTCCCAGATCTTGCTGAGTTTACCCCTACCTCTCCATTTCCAGTGCCCTAACCATACTCCTTGGCAGGAATACCTGGCCCTCCCTAGTTTTTTGGATGTCACATCTAGCTGACCCTGCGTTTACCGTTGAGACCTCAATGTGAAGTCACAGACCCCATCCCATGGGACTTCAGCAAGCAATGTCGTGAGTCTCTTTTGGTCTAAGAGTTGCCTTGGCCCTTCAGCACTCAGTCTGAGAATCCTAGAACCAAAGTCTCCATAGTAGTGTGTCTACAACCTGTGGCATCTCCAACCACCCGAAGACACAGGGGACCCACGTGAAACTCCAGCCTGGGTCAATTAGGAAGAGATTTGCGGAGCTAAAAAATAAAATGAGGTAAAATAAATTGACCTTATCTGGGTCCACACTAACAATCTCAGCACCAGGGAGATGGAGGCAGGAGGATCAGAAGTTCAAGGCCATCCTCAGCAAGGGAGGGAGTTCAAGACCAGCCTGGCATACAAGAAGCTCTGTTTGTCTCAAATGAACAAACGAGCAAACAAAACCCGTCAAACTGAATGTTTAAAATGTTTAAAATGAATATAGTCTGTGCCATAAGGTGGTGTGGATGCTTAGAAGACAACGTTTTCTCTTTTTAAGGCAGGGTCAGTCTCTCATTGGCCTGGAACTCACCATATAGTATATATAGTTTGGCTGGCAACGGAGCCCCAGGGATCTCCCTGTTTCCCTGCGTGAGACTGGATTGGTGCTGACTGGGCTCAGGGTCTCACACTGTGTGACAAGTACCTTACCACCTGAACTGATTGCTCAGCCTCAGAGGTGTGAATCTGCTTCTAATCATTTTGTTTGTAGTTGTCTGTTGCCCACCAAGCCTCCTGGAGCCTAAGCCAGAGGGAGGCACACAGTAGGTCCTCTTTCCTCTGCAGAATGCTCTGCAGGGGTGTCAGTGCTGAGATCTGAGCTTCGGTGACAGTGGGTGTGTCTCCTTACACCAGCTTTCTTTTACCTCTTACAAGATTAAAACAACAATGTCGTTGTTTAATTTTGTGTATGTGAATGTTTTGCCTGTGTGTGTGTATGTGTGTGTGTGTGTACCACGTGTGTGCCTGGCCCCTGTGGAAGCCAGAAGAGGGAATCAAATCCCCCGGAAATGGAGTTTTGGATGGTTGTGGGCACGTGGGTGGTGGGAACGAACTTGGGTCTTCTGTAAGAGCAGCAAGTACTCTTTTTTTTTTTCTTGGTTTTATGAGACAGGGTTTCTCTGTATTGTTTTGGAGGCTGTCGGTCCAGCCCGGCCTCGAACTCACAGAGATCCGCCTGCCTCTGCCTCCCGAGTGCTGGGATTAAAGGCGTGCGCCACCACCACCCGGCAAGCAGCAAGTACTCTTAACCACTGAGCCATCTCTCCAACTTCCTTCCTTCACCTCTTATCTCGCCAAATCAAGGGACTGAAGCTGTGGCAGGGTGCCTGCGGGTGTCTGCAAGTAGCGCTTGGCATCCTGGACTTGGGGGACCGGACGCAGCTCCTGGGGTGACATAGAAGGGATTTCTCAGGGTGGCCCCCGCCATTGTGTTCAGTGCTCCCAGGAGCTGGCACGTGGCAGGCCACTGGGCAGCCTCACTTGGGCTGCTTTCACAGCAGAGAGAATGCCTGCTTGTTGGCTGCGGCTGGCACTCGGCTGTGTGGTTTTTAATATGCTCGTCACTGTGTCATCGATTTCTCCCTCTGAGCAGCGGAGAGAAACATCAAGGAGTGGTTCAGAGTAGGCCTCGCGGGGATCAAGAAGTTCGCTCCATGGTCTGGCTCCATGACGTCTTGGCTTGGTTTTATGGAATGTGAGGATTATATTTTGGATCCAAGGAGACAAGCAGATTGTTAAGGTGCTCAGGCACACTGCTCTAAATCAAAGTGCCTTTCCATGGCATTCCCGTGTCACAGAGAAGGACTTCTTAAGCTGTTCCTCCCTCATCTCCAAAGGCACCAACATTCAGCAGTCCTGTTTTATTATGAGCACCCCTGAGAGGCCAGGCTCTCGATGCAGCTCTGCTCTGAGCTGGGCTTTTGGGAGAACTGCCTGGTCCCGAGGACTCTGACCTTATCTCCAGGGTGTGCACTACCGTTTTCATAATTTGAGGGCATTATTGGGGCGTGGGAGGCGTGGCGTGGGAGGCGGAGGCGGAGGCGGGGCGTGGGAGGCGGAGGCGGGCCCTCACTGGAGGAAGTAGGTCATTGGGGCGTGTCTTTGAAGAATACACCTTGTCTCCACCCCTCCCTCTCTTCTCTTCTGCTTTTTGGCAACCACAAGGCAAGATGCCTTCTCCACAGTACAAGGTCATCCAGGGCTCAAGCGAAGACGGGAGCCGAGGTGGAAGGTTTGGGTGCAGAGGTGTGCGGCTGCTGTTGGAGACTGTCTTCTCACAGGACTGGAAACACTGGGTGGGAGGGTGTGGCCTTACAGCCAGCTGCAGCACTCTGCCAGAGGGGCGACCAGGAGACGGTGGGGGAGATGTTCTTCACCCACGTGGGCTTCTGACTTGGTAGAAAAAGGAAACCTGGCTCTGCGGGTCAGAGTGCTCGGTGTGCAGGCATGAGGACCCGAGCTCAGATACCTGGCACCCGTGTAAAAAGCTAGTATGGTGGTATACATCTGTCACCCTTCACTATGGTGGTGGGGTGTGGGGGTGGAGGCAGGAGGATTGCTGGCTATCAGCCTAGTGCCACACTCAGTGAGAGACCCTGTCTCAAGAGAGTAAGGTGGAGAGTCCTCCTCTGTCACACATGCACACCCTGCATGCACGGACACCCCCTACACACACACACACACACACACACACACACACACATGCACACACACGCACACGCACACACACGAGAAAAAGACACTGACTCTAATTTTTCATTTTGTTTGGAAAAAAAAAAGAAAGAAGCCAGCGAATTAAATTCATATAAAACCTCCAAACAGTGGGAGGACAGCAGGCTTGAGAGTCCTCAGGGAAGCCCAACCGCCTGACCTCCTGACATCTTGAACCTCGGTGTTCAGAGCTTCCTGGCAGAGATATTAGAGTCATAAACTTAAGGGCGTGCAGCTTAATTGTAGGCAGCACCTTGAGCGGCTCCCGTGTCGCCTGCCTCCTGGACAGAATGTGGAGCAGTCACATGAAAGTGGCAGCCACTGGGTGTGGTGGTGAGCCTGGGAACAGTGATGGAGGCCAGTGGGGCTGCGGGGTAGCAGGGCTTTGGGCAATAGGAGTAGGTGAGCCCTAAGGCTGGGCCCGGAAGCACAGGCAAGCCCTGTGCCCTGGGCAGAGTTCTCCAGTCCCCGGCCTGGAGGCCCCGTGCTTTCGTGAGTGCTCAGCTGCTGCTGTCCTGAGTTCTTAATGCTGTGCACACGGGGCCCTGTAGTTTTAGCCTCACTAGGCCTCACAATCTGGGGGGTGCAGGCTGGGAGGTGGCACAGGCTCGGCCAGAATATTTCAGGTGGGTACAGGGTGGCCAGTTTGGACCTGGAAAACCTGCAATGATGACTTTGTTGAGACTACCAACCTGGCGATCAAGGTTGACAGCAACGAGGAATTATTCAACCACAGACCCGTGCTGTGCGGCCACCATTACCCCCCAGCTTTGTCTGACCAATGACAAAGAGGACTGACAAACTCAGATGGAGGGACATTCCACCAGTTACCTGACCAGTCCTTCACAACTTCAAGGCCATAAAAAATAAGGATAGTACAAGAAACTGTCACAGGGCCCAGATGACAGGGTGACTAAACAGAGAATAACAGGAGGGGTAGAACCAAGTGGAGTATGGTTAACAGCGGCCTGTAAGTGGGAATTCTGATGGATGGCAGGGACAGGAGTCCAGGGGACATCCATCTGGCCACTGGGTTTGTCACTGAGTAACGTGGTGGCAGCCACAAAGGCTCATCTCTAGCTGGGGGGATGCTTAGCTACTTACCCACCCACAGGGACCTTCAGACACGCACTTCTAGACGGGTAAAAACTGAAGCCCTGGGCCATGCCGTCCCTTCCCTGTGTGACTGTGGTGGAGTCACTTAACATCTCTAAGACACATGAAGAAAGTGGGGCTAATCTTGCAGTCTGTGTGGGATGCTTATTGTTGTTCCCAGGGATTTTTATTCATGTGGTGTGCCTGGCCCAGAGCCTAAAAGATAGGGAAATGCCTCAGTAGTGTCACTGGCTGAGGTGGAGTGCGGCCAGGCTGCGGGAGGCTCCTGGCACCAAGGCAAGGAATGGGTGCTTTACTGAAAGGATTTATTAGGATCCTGGAAAGTTTTTATTTACTTATTTGTGTAAATAAGTACATTTTACTTAATTCTCCCTCTCTCTCTGTCTCTCTGTCTCTCTGTCTCTCTGTCTCTCTCTCTCTCTGTGTTCATGTGTGCCACAGTGTGTGGAGTGTGGAGGTCAGAGGTCAAACGCAGGAGCCATCGGTCTCCTTCTGCCGTGTGAGTCCTGGGGATTGAACTCAGGCAATCGGGATTGGCTGCGAGTCTTTCTTTCACTTGCCAAGCCATCTCGTCAGCCTGAATTTGGGTGTTTTTCAGCAGAGAAAGAAGATGGAGAAATCAACCACTCAGCAGCTTTCCAGTCCCCAAGGCACCTGGGGCCAGAGCCAGCAGTAGGTCAGTGGTCACAAGCCTGGTTACAAAGTCGGTGACCTCCAGCTCCCTGGAGACCCTGACTGCCCCAGTTCCGGACCAGAGAGAAAAGGGGGAGAGTCACCACGCCCAGCCTCCCTTCAGGCAGACAGATAGATGGCCTAATAACACAGGCTGGCCTGAAGTACCTCCTTCAGTGGATGGAGCTCCCATGGGACGCAGGACAGCAGCAGTGTAGAGCCTTGGGCACAGGGCTCAGGCACGGTGGAGAGTACCTGACACCAGCATAGACGGCCTTGGCTCCCAGGCAGCACCAATCAGGTCAGTCCAGAGCCCTGCTTCCTGCCCCTCTGCCAGCTCTTCCTGGGAGGTCCTGGGGAAGAGGTGGGCTGCCATAGGGTGTTCAGGGGAGGGCTGATGGGCAGTCTAACAGGTGCACTGTCAGGGGGCTCGTTCCCTCAGCACCCCTCTGTGCCTGGCTACGGGGCGCTGGCCTCAGTCATATATGGACTCACTTGCACTCATATGTGTCACCAAGGACACTCCTGTGCCCTCCCTGTCCTGGGGCGCGTTGCAGAGAAGCAGCCTGCCAGCTTTAACATCCAGTAACCAGCCCCAATCCAGGCAAGCAGGGGCTTTCTGAACCCCTGCTGGGACTCCCTCTGTAGCAGGCTCTTTGGGCCAGATGGCTCATTCCAGGAGGCATCAGAATGTGGCAGTGGCCTCTGCCCTTGTTGGTGCCTCCCCTTGGGGCCATATCCCTGACTTCCTTCACTCTTGCTAGTTTTATGAGGAGCTTCATGACCAGTCCTCACACCCTAGCTCCGAGGCTGCTCTTGAACCAGAGACCACAGGGTCCCGGAATCCACTGTCCTGGGATGGAGGTCAGGTGCCGGCTGTCTCGGCCTCTGCACCCCTTGCTGTCTATCTTCTTCCTGTCTATCTGGACACAGAACTTAGAGCGTCCTCAGGTTCCCCCGTGTCAGTCGTCAGACTCCCTGGCCTTGGGACAGCCCGATGGAACCTTCTTCCTGGAACCCACGCCCTGTGTAGAGCCAGTGTGGCCCCTGTCCGTGGTGCCATCTGGGGACAGGCTACGAGAGCTGTCCTGGCTTCTGCCTTTGTCTGGCTGTGGGGCAGCAGCTACTGTGTCATGAGGTGGTCTCAGGGACAAGGGGCTGAAGCTACACTTGCTTGTCATCTACAGCCAGCATCGTGAAGCAGGTCCTCAGCCTTGGCCTTAGAGGGCAAGGATGGCCTTATGGGAACATATTCGTCCCTCCTCCTCTGGACCCCAGAACCCAAGTGGCAAGTTGGATTTTTGTTTTCGCTTTTTTCATCTGTGGAGTTGGGAGGTAATCCATTACACAACAACCGATGATGGATTTGGCAAATAGGCAGGCTTTTCTGAAGGAAGCCGGACAGAGAAGGTGGGGAGTGGGTGGGAGGGAGGAGGGGCCTCAGCCCCCCCCTCCCCCCCGGCTCCCATCTTTATCCCCTTCCTCCTAGTGACTCTTCCCAGCCCACTTTCAAGGTCTCTCATCCTTCTTAGGACCCAGAAGTATTTGATCCCTGACCCGGGCCCTCGATCTTGCTTCCTGGACCTGTCACAGTGTCCAGGAAAAAACAAAACAGCTCCGACCTGAGGACTGCTTGCTGAGAAGGAGTCTCTGTCCCCTGTACTCATCTCTCCCTGCTCCACGCCTCTTGTGGGAGGGCATCCATGTTGTGCACAGGACCTCACATGTACTCTCTAGACTCTGCCTCTCATGGGCTCCTCTCTAGTGAGTCGAGCATTCTGCCCCAGCACCGGAGGCCCAACAGGGCTGTGATGCCCTGTGCTCTATATGCATGTATTTGTGATTTGAGAATCGCTTAGCCTAATTTCTTAGCGTCAACTCAAAACGGCATGGAGATCAAGTGGAAGAGAATCTTGTGTGTCTGCAGGGCGCGTCTTGCTACACAACTAAGTGCATGGGCAGGTGGCGCTCCCATGGTTTCCCTCCCACCGTTCTACAAGCTCCCCAAAGAAGACCTTTGCGGGGGGGTGTCCTCATGATATGGCCAGGCTAGTGGGGTCATCTGTGAGGCGCATTTGGTCAACTCAGGAATGGAGGGCACTTTGCCCGTGGGCTGTGGGGACCACTCCTCAGCATCATGAGAAGACCCCAAGGCGGGTTGAGGTCTGGGATGTAAGACGGGGATCCAGGCGACTGGCAGTGCCCACTGTGTTATCTCGGACACTGGAATTCTGGGGTTTTTCTCATAGAGCTATTCCTTCTGCCCACAAATCACTCCGCCTGTGAGCTATGAGCTCAGCTTGGGGGAGGGGCACCTTGATTCATTTCCCATTAAGACTACCTATGGCTGTGGGGAGAGAAGGAATTGGGTTGAGAGGCCGGTTGCCTAAAAGACAAGCCTTTCACAGCCATTTTTTAATAGCCTGTTAATTACAGCGACAAATGAAAAGAGCGCTGGGCTCCCGGACAGAGGTGTCCAAATGAGGGGAGACTGGGGAAGGGCCACAGGCAAGAGTGGTCACAACAGGAGAGGCCTCAGCAGTGGACAACACAGGAGCAACGACCGCATGCGTGACGTGTGCTGTCACACACTACGGTCTTCAGAATGTTCTGGGAACTGAAGAAGGAGGAAGTAACGGCTCGGTGGAGGTCACCAGGGTTCCTGGGGGAGGTGGGTGTTGACTAGTGCCCTGAAGTCTGGCAGGAGGCAGGCAGGGAGGCTTCCATGGGGGAAAGTTCTCTCAGGCAAAGGACAAAGTCTGGAGTGAGAGATTCCTGCAGCGTGACCTTGTGCTGCCGGCTCATAGAGCGTGTGGGGGTGATGGGAGAGACGCTGAAGGCATGCCAGGGTTTCTAGTGCTTCGAAGAAACACCATGGCCAAGAGAAAATTGGGGAGGAAAGAGTTTATTGTTTCCCTCACACTTCCACACAACTGTTCATCATCAAAGGCAGCGAGGACAGGACTCAGGCGGGGCAGGGACCTGGAGGCAGGCGCTGAAGCCGAGTGCCGTTTACTAACTTGCTCAACAAGGCTTGCTCAGCCTGCTTTCATGTAGAACCCTGGACCACCAGCCCTGGGTGGCCACACCCACAATGGGCCCTCCGCCATCAAGCATTAAGAAAATGCCCTTCACCGGCTCTTGGGTGGTATTTCTCAATGGAGACGCCCTCCTTTCAGGTAACTCTAGCTGGTGCCAAGTTGCCTTAAGACGACTAGCCCGCCCAGAGAGCAGAGGGGGGTTTGGATGTCTTTCTCCAGTGTAGCGCCCTTCCCCCATGGGAGCCTGCTGACCAGCTTGTGACTAGGAGCTTCTAGCAAAACACTTCTGCAAGTTCCTTTTCTGTCCATCCTTATTGTCTAAATGTTAATTCCTGTTTTTGGCCCACCCTTTGCCGGAGGGCCCTGGGAATACAGGCTTCTGATCTTGGTGGTTTCCCACCATGCCTGCCATTGGTATTTAAGGCTCCATTCTTGTTAAAATAAGCGCCATTCTCCTTGTAAGAATGAGCCGCTGGCCAGGCGTTGGTGGCGCACGCCTTTAATCCCAGCACTCGGAAGGCAGAGGCAGGCGGATCTCTGTGAGTTCGAGGCCAGCCTGGTCTACAGAGCGAGTTCCAGGACAGCCTCCAAAACAATACAGAGAAACCCTGTCTCGGAAAAACAAAAACAAAACAAAACAAAACAAAACAAAAAAGAAAAGAATGAGCCGATGTCTTTGTCTTCATTTACATCCTTAGCCCTTCTCCCGGATCTTGGTGAAGTGTTGCAGTGCCGTGTAACCGCGAACAACAGCTCGCTACACTCCTGGAGAGAAGATCCAGCACCCGCCCGGCAGTCACACCCAAGTTCAGCTGATCCAGATGTTTCGTACAGAGTGAGCACCTAGGCAGCTGGTGCCAGTCACCTGGCATCGCCGTGAGAACAGTCTGCGTGCCTGCCTGGACTCTGGGGCACCTCTGGAGGGCTTAAACAAACGAGAGAGGAAGAAGGGGCTGTTACAGAGACCAAGTGAAGAATGGGAAGGCCTGACTTAGACCTGGGACATGCCGGTCCCACCTTTGCCTCACTCCTATGACCGGGTGCTCAGGATCCTGGTGTGTGTGTGTGTGTGTGTGTGTGCGCGCGCGCGCACGCGCGTGCGTGCGCGAGCACTGAGCTCTTTCTCTTTGGGCTTTTTTGTTTGTTTGTTTTAACCAAGAGATTGCTGTGACCCAAATCTTCACTAACACAGTAGCCACAAGCCACACGTGGCCGTTTAAGCCTAGATAAATCAAGATGGAAAGGTAAGTGAACCCTGCAGTTGTAGAAGGCATGATTTTAACCACACAATAGCCACATGTGGTTAGCGGCTCCTCAAATCATTGCCACCATGGCAGAAAGGCTCAGCGGACAGTGCTGGTGTGGAGGGAGCCCAGTCGGGATCCAGATGGTGTGGCCCACAGTGACCTCCCGTCCAGGCCAACGCCACCATCTTCTGTGTGGGGTAGCAGCCGCACTCAGAGAGGGAAACTGCTGACAGTTTCTCTGCTCTACAGGGGCCGGTCTTCAAGGAGAGAATATGGGGATGACGAGGGCTCAAAACCACCTCAGAGTGAGTCTAGCTGGCTCTGCAGGCCCCAAGAAAGAAGAGAGTGTCCCAGCAAGGATGCCTTCAGGACTGGCCCATGCCTGCAGGAGGAAACTAAGGGGGGGATTTGTCATGTGGCGTGTGGCGTGTGACTCTCACTCTGGGAATCCCCAACAGGTGGAACCAGGAATGCTTCTTTGCCATTCGATGCCTGGTGCTCCCTGGTGTCATTGCTCAGTGTCTTGGGCCGGAGCCCATTTACTAGGCCTCTGCCATTGCCCACCTCAGGGCACACGCGAACCAGAGGGCGTTCTCTGCAGTTGCGAGTTAGATCCGCCAGAGGGCGCAGGGGCAGCTGTCACTGCTACAAGCCGGCCAGGCGTTGGGGACTGCTCCACTCCAGTAGGAATCAGCTAGACGCCCAGTGGGGGACCCTGAGCTCTTCTGCTCCCTCTTCGGGGAAGGGGATTAGGTTAAGAGGGCAGAGGCAGCATAATGGCTTCCCTGGGTCTGCACGGAAGGACCTGAAGGCTAGGGAGGTAGGAGTGTGCCTGCCAGTCAAAGACACAGGTTTGGAGGCCAGAGGAGAGACATCCAACAGTCTCTCTGTACCATGAGGTGACATAACAGGTGGCCGGCGTCTCAGTGCTTGTCTACCCTTCTGTTCCTATCCTGGGCCGCTTTCCTGTCCTCAGATGACAAGAGGGAGGTGTTTCTGAACAGCAAGTCTTTCTGCTCTAGTAAACCCAACTCGGTGGGTCCCTCTGCACTTAAGACTCCAGAACGCTGTCTGCCTCTGCGACGTTTGCACATGCTGTCCCTGCAGCCTGGGACACCCTTCTCCCCTTTCTCCAGCTGAGCAACTCCTGTCCTTCAGTTGATTCCCGTTCATCCACCCAGACTCGGCCCAGGCCTGCATGAGATGCCCTTGTTAGGAGTCCAGCAGCCCGGCTGAGCCGCTGTGCACCACCTGAGGACAGGCACTGGGAACACGGCCCGCCCGTAAAAGTGTTTGCGAAGCACAAAGCCAGGCGGCGGCACAGCTCAACTGTCTGGGTTTGCCGGTCACCGCGCCTGGTGGAGGCTCTTGACACCAGCTCCGACTCCCCACCAGCTGCTCATGTACCCAGCTCTGGACACAGAGCCCTTCCCTACCGCGGCCAGGGAGACCCCCTTGCAGGCGGTGCAGGTGTGTGTGTGTGTGTAGGTAGGTAGGTAGGAAGCGCAGCTTGAACTGGGGCCAGGAAGGCCTTGGAAGCTTCTTTGGGTAGCCACAGAACCAGTATCCTCCCAGGGATGGGTTAAGGTGGAGAGAGACAGTCAAGTACCCTGGATGAAGCAGGGAGAATCCGAGACTCTGCGAACTTAACTGTGTTACCTTGGGGCAAGCACTCTGCTGTCCGGCCTGCAAAATGGGAACGCAGCAGCCCCAACGCAGGGCTCGCCGGCGGTTATGCACAAGACCTCAGGTCAGGGCACAGGCAGAAAGGGGTGCATCTGGGGGAGGAGGGTCGCCATGGGGTTGTCCTCTAACGGGCACTGTACCCGGGGCAACTTTGCCTCCAGCTGTTGAATGAGCTGGTGGAGGCGATGGTGGGGTGGGCCGAGACACAGTCGGGTGCTAGGTGCCCGAGGCGGGGTAGGGCCGGGGGGCGCGCTCGGCGGGTGCCCGGGGCTCGGCGGTCCGCGGTGCCGCCGCCTCACAGGGCGCCACAGCTGCAGCAGCGCCGGAGCCCAGCGCGGCCCCCGCCCCGTGGCGTGTGTCTGGGAGCGCGCTTGTGGCCCTGGAAGCAGCGGGCCGAGGGGCGGGAGGGTCTGCAGCGAGGAGGCCTGTGAGGGGAGCCGGCCGGACCGACAGACGCAGGGATCACCAGCCCCTGAGGCACCCCGCCCCGCGCCCGGGCCCTCTGCGGGCGGCAGCCCTGCGCGGCGGGAGGCGGGGGTGGCAGTGTCTGCGCGCACACGCACGCTCACAGACACACACGCCCGGGCCACGCCACAGACACACGACACGCACAGAGCCACGGCCGGCCGCTGCGCACACTCGTACCCGCGCTCACGCTCGCTCTCCGGCGCAGGCCCTGCAGCAGCCGCTGCCCGGAGGCGGTGGCATCCTGCTCGGATCCCAGCCGGGACTGGAGGTGAGTGAATTCCTCCGGATTCGAGAGCTGCCCGCGTCTTGCGGAGACCCTGGGAATCCAGGCTGAGCTGAGGGCGCCCTGCCGCCAGCGGGGGTGGGGCTTGGAAAGGGACCCGGGAGGGGAGGATGAGCCAGGGAGAGCCACTCCGGGTTCCTCCTGGCCTGGGGATGCCCGTGAGACCCCCTGGGGACCACCTTGCGCGAGGTGGTGGGGGTGAGGCTGGGCGGAGGCGTGGTGGGAGGACAGGGAGGACGAGCGTCGAGGTGAGCATTTTCGGGGTGGTGGTGCAGAAGCTGGCGGAGGACGCTCTCGTTAGTCAGTGCCACACCGCACCTCGCTGGCCCCCATTTTGGAAAACCAGAGACTCGGATCCCCGTTTCACTGAGTCCTGGCGGGTCAACGAATTCATCCTCTCACTGGTAAGGGGGGGTTGGCGGGGTGGCTAGGTGGCTGGCTCAGGGGGAGGGGCCAGGGTGCGGTTTGTCCCCCTTCCCCTCGTGGGGCACTGTGAATTTAGTAGGCGGACCAGAGTTTGGATATGTACGTGGTGAACCCTTGCAGGGGGTCAGATTTTCTTTTTCTCAGCGGGGCTGGTGTGGGACAGGCAGCGAGGCACCAGCATAAACCGACATACTGCAGCTTTGACTGGGCCCTGCCACTGCCGGGTGGTGTGTGTGTGTGTGTGTGTGTGTGTGTGTGTGTGTGTGTGTGTGTGAGTGTTCGCGTGTGTTTGTGTGTGTGTATGTTCAGGCTGCAATTGGCTAGGAGGGGCCAGAGTGTGGGTGTGTTGGCTGGTGGGGTGGTTTGTGCACGTGGGAAAGGGTGTGTATTGACTCAGGATAGACCCCCTGCTGACACACACACACGCACATGCACACGCACACATGCATATGCACGCACACACGCAATCTGTGGCCCAGCAGGGCTTCCTCAGAATATTTGGAAGGAAGCAGCTGGGATGTGTGTGTGTGTGTATGTGTGTGTGTGTGTGTGTGTGTCTGGGTGTGTGAATCTGCGCACTTGGGGAGATTGTGTGGAGGATGTAGGCTGCCGGGCCTCGGTGTGTCAGACATGACCAAGGAGAATGAGCCAGGGACACTGCTCGGAATCTCAGTCAGCTTTGGAGGGATGTGGTACTTAAGGGCACATCCCATGGCTCTGGATTCTTCCTACATTGCTGCTGCTGCAGAGGCACTGTTTCTTGCTGAGAGACACAGGTGTTGGACTGGTGTCTGTGTGTCAGTGTGTTTGAGTGCACGCTCTTGTGTCCGGCTGCGGACGTCACCGTCAGCAGGCCAGGCTGTGGGAGGAGAAGCTGGGGGAAGGGGTAGCTGCTGGCCGTACCTGGAGGAATGTGGTGCAAGCTGCAGCCCTGGCCATTGGCTTCAGTGACGGAGGAGCGGCATCTCAACACCAGGAGCTGCATCACGGGGGCTGGGCATGTCTGCGTGTGTGTGTGTGTGTGTGTGTGTGTGTGTGTGTGTGTTGCTTGGCTCACACTGTTTCCGTAGCCTGAGGACACCTGTGGGACATGTCATGTCTAGATCAACAGCAGGACATGTGGGCTTGCATATGCCTGTAAATGCTGTCTGGGATGTGGGTGAAAGCATCCTAGGTGAGCACACAGTCTCAGCTGCCTATGGACCCTACTGCTATACATGGTGGACAGGGGGACCTCGGGGCCAACAGGCGTTGGGCAGGAAAAGAAGAGTAGGGAGACATCGGGGAGGGAGATGTGTGTGTGATGTCAGTGAGAACCTTGCGCTGTGACATCAGCTTCAGGTTATTGGTGACGTCACCGGGGCAGCAGTGTGAGGGCTACCCTCATGGGCCTCGGCATGTGATGTCACTGTGCACGTGTGGGGCCGAGTGTGGTCATCTCTCCTGGGAGGGGGAGAAAGGACAGAGAATGGAGCCTCTGAGCCAGCAGTCTCTCCCAAGGAGCCCCCATTTCCTGGAGGTCCTCCTTTTCTTGGGACCCTTGCTCCCCGGGAAGAATGCATCTCATTGTCCTCCACATGGCACCTCCTAGCCCCTGAGCCCCTCAAGTCTGTGTTAGCCTTGTCCCAGCAGCTCACATACTTTGGGCACGTGTGTTTGTGGATGTTCATGTGGACGCGTGGGCATATGCTGAGGGAGCCTGGAGCCCTGGGTTCTAATCTCAATTGGCCAGTTTTGAGTTTTGTGATCTGGGCATTCTTCCGACTTTCCTGTCAGGTCTTTTACCTGTCACTCCTGGAGGGGGTTAGAGGTGAAGGGTGGGGTCAGAGGAACTACAGTGGGCCTTTTGGTGCCTGGCACTTGGAGTGGAGCTCGGCCCATGTCAACCCTGCCTCTTGTTGCCTAGACAGACCCTCCTCCCCCCAGCACCTGCTGCGGTTTGGTTAAGTGAACTTTGTGAAGAATTTGCTTCTCTTTCCTGGGGTCCTGTAGGTGCATGGACCGGCCACTAGTCACAGGGCTGTGGCCAGGCAAACTGAGGTCAGTGAATTCTTTCCTCTGCAGGGTGGCTGTAGGGAAACATCCGACCAGCAGGGAAGGGGACCTTTGTGCCATAGGGGGTGAGGTGAGTCAGGGTGGCAGGTGGGTGAAAAGGTTACTGGCCACAGTGGAGAGCCTGTGGCTTCCGTTGATTTGGATAGAGACAGGCAAACTCGGTTGCTAATCCTTTCCAGTGGGGAGGGTCCAAGGTCTCTAATATCCCCATGCTTTCTCCTCCGGGGGGCCTTCTTGTCACCCCAGCACTGTTCTGGAAGCAGATTGGAGTGTTAGGGCCACCCTGCCATTCCTGTGTGTGTGTGTGTGTGTGTGTGTGTGTGTGTGTGTGTGTGTGTGAGAGAGAGAGAGAGAGAGAGAGAGAGAGAGAGAGAGAGAGAGAGAGAGAGAGAGAGGTAGGCTCTAAGGAGGAAGGAGTGACTGCTTGCCTTAGGATCTGACAAGTGAGGTCAGGCCCTGCACATCCCCTGCCCTTGCTAACACTCCAGAGTCCAGGTCTTTCTCTGCTCCAAACCTCTCCCTACCCCCCTGCATTGCACTAGCCAAGTCCACGGCTTCTAAGTTTGACACTCTGTACCCATCAGGCTGTTGGGTGAGAACAGTCCAGAAGGCAAATGCAGTTGTCTGCCTCCAGCTGTCCCAGCCAATCCCTGATCAAATTAACCTTGTCCTGACTCAATGAACACCCAGGGCAGAGGCTCTGACATTGTTGCTGGGGATCATGTCTGTGGGCTTGGGATAACAGAGATCCCTTTCCTTAGGCCCAGCTCTGCACATAGTTCCCAGGCAACCCTCGAGGGACCTTGAGGACTGGAGAGCCACTTGGGAAAGCCAGAGGAAGGGGTTGACTTCAGAGAGCGATGACCAACACAGTGGTAATTAGGACAAGTGTATCAGGGAAGGGTCTCCAGCCCCTGCCTAGCGCTGGTTTGGGATTCAATCTATAACTTGCCCTTGACTCTTGCTTAATCCCACAGAATCCTCGTGTAATAAGAGCAGCTGTTATTCCTCATTTCACAGACAAGACACAGAGAAGTTGCAGAGCAGCCCAGGGCCACCCCACAGCAGTGGAATCAGGACTGGAACGTCACAGGTAGATTCTGAAAGCAGCTCCCACTCATTGCTAGACTCCTTCTCCAAGTGGGCCAGGGTCCTTTCTGCTTGGGGTCTTCTGTTACTAGGGCCCCTCTCTGGACCTTGTGGCACTCAACTGTAAATGGGGACAGGGACCTGGCCGTAAGGGAGGCAGTAGGTGGGGTGACCCTTATGTGATGGGTGTAGGGATAGAAGGGCGGGAGGAGACGGTGGGGCCTCTCCCAGGTCTCCCTCTCCCAATAGGTCCCCACCTTAGGCCTGTGACATTCCTGAAGGCAGTGCTCTGATTCTGTCCTTCCACAGTGCCTCCAGCATTGTGAGTGTGTGAGTGTGTGTGTGTGTGAGAGAGAGAGACAGAGACAGAGAGAGAGAGAGAGAGAGAGAGAGAGAGAGAGAGAGAGAGAGAGAGAGAGAGCAGAACTTCCTGCCTTCTCCAGCCTGTACTTCCCACCCCAGGAAGGAGGGGTCTGGAGTTGCAGTCTGTCCACCTCCCTAGGTTATGTCCTGAGCTGGGAGAAGGCAAGGCACATGCTCCCTGTCACCACTGCCCCTCTAGGGGATGCAGGAAGTGACTCCCAAGTGTTGTTGGTCTGTTCTGAGCCAGCCAGACTCAGACTTGACTCAGTTTCCCTCCTTGAGTGTTGTCTCTTCCCCACTACGGTCCTCCTGGGAGATTGGAGAGACACATGTGAGGCCTGTTGGCCTGTCCTCCCTGCCCTGCTCACGACCCTGGGGGATTTCACAGATCTGCTCCTTGCTGAGCCATTTCTGGTCCGTCTCTTCTACTGCCCGCCAACCTCCACAGGTTCTCAGAAAATGCTCACCAGACACACATTCCTTTCATCTATCCGAGGATGGTTGATGCTGTTCTCATTCCGATTGTGCACACATATGTACACCGTTCACCCAGGGAGAGCTGCAGGCCCCAGGGCTCTGACAAGCGCCTCTGGAGACGTGTCCCAAGCCTCTGGCACACAGTAGGTCTTGCTTGGCAGCCAGTCTTCATTAGTGAGTGTTCTGATCCGAAGGGGTGTGCTGCAGGCTGGGGGCAGGTGCTGTGCAGCCCCAGGCCGACTGGGGGAGGCTGGGTTGCCTTCTGTTTTGAGCCGGCTGGCACCTGCTCTGTACCAGAGAGGCATGAGAGGCTCCTTTGCTTGTTTAATTTTGGCTCGAGGATTTTAACTGCCATCCTTTGGCAGTGGGAGCTGTGTGTGTGTGTGGGGCCCGGCCAGGTGGGGAGAGCATGTGTGGGCCAGGGCCATGGAGGTAGGTAGGGAAGCTGGAGAGAATTTTAAAAAGGCAAGTCTGGACTTGTGGTTTGAGGACCCGTCACACAGGCCCGTGAGTGCTGGATGGAGCAACTGTACATCGTCCGTGTGGCTTGGAGCGTGCAGATCTTTAGTGCCTGTTAAAAGGCAGGTTTAAAAGCCCTGCTTGGTGTGACTTCAGTTCACATAGGGTGGTGTGAGGCTTCAGGAACCCCGCTGAGATCTTTTCCTCGATGATCAACTCATTCATGCTTGTGGTTGGATGACCGGGGGGGGGTGTTACATATTCCTTCGGGTTTCTGTAACTCTTCCCGGACTATGAGGAGGCAGCAAGGCCATCTTGGTCTTCCCAAGGAGCCTAAACTAAAAGCAGAGCCCTGCTCTGGGTGACACAGGTGGACATGGACCGGCAATCTTTAGCGTGCTTGGGTTGCTGTTCTGCCTGGACTCTGAGAGCCCCTTACTCAGTCCCTAGATGCGCCTTGGTAGCACTTCTGTAGCACAGATGATCAAGAGGAGGCAGTCTGCGGTCCCGGATTCGAGATGGTACCGCTGGTGAAGCTAGCTAGGCCTTGGAGGCAAGGAACTGGAGAGGAACTGCCCCAGTACCTTGGACAGAGCCCCAGTTCCTCCACGGAGCTGGGCCTGCGGCTGAGCTCGGGACTTGCACGAAGGAGGGTGCAGAGCCAGGAAGGCGGCCGAGAGGAGGCATGGAAGCCTGTATCCAGTGGGCAGGGACTGGTCCCGCGGGTCGCCACCGCCCCAGCCTCATCCTGCAGCTTCTCCACCCGGCGTCACCCGCCCCCGACTCGGCCGCTGCTTTCCGCCTTACTTCCCTGTGCTTAGAATTTGCAGCCGCAGCCGCTGACGCTCTAGCAGCCAATTTCACGGGCTCTGGGCTCGGCTCGGTGCGCGGGATGGAGAGCAGCCGGCGGGGGCGGGTCGGGGTGGGGGCGGGGGCGGGGGTGGGAACACGTACAGGTCTGCAAGGTGGTAGGGCAGAAGCGTGCCCCAGTCAGACTGGGATCCAATGGGAATCCCCTGGGAGCGCTGCAGAGGGTGCAGGCATGGTCGAGTGTCCTGGGATTGTGCGGCAGGTGTGCATTGGTCCCGGTGCCTGGGAGGGGTTCCCCGTGTAGACAGGCTTGCGGACATGTATGTGTTGGTGTGTGAAACTCTGTAGGGTGTCCTGTGCACGGGGGCGTGTTTGTCTGGGTGCCTTTGGCAAGTCTGAATGTGCGAGCAGTCCACAGTGGGGGGCTAGTGTGTGTCCGTGGGCGGGCTGATGTGTGTCTCTGCAGTGTTCCCAGGCGTGTTGACACAGCTGTGGGGCTGTGTGTTAGGATGCGTGCCTGGGTAGGGCCCCTCCCCTGTCCAGGCTCTGTGGGCGTGCTGGTTCTGTCTGGGTGCCCTGTGTGGGTGTCTGTTTAGAGTGTGCCCTGTGGGATGGTTGCAGCCCTGCCGGGCCAAGGGTCTCGGTGGGCCTCCGCTATGGCTGCCAGCCATTCTGTAAGACCCCAGCCATGCTCACCCTTGCTGCCTCTGGGTGGGGGGAGAGAACCAAGCAGGCAGGGCCTCAGTGTTTATGTTCTGGTGCGCTGGCTGCCAGTGCTGGGTGGGTCTACATATGTTTGTGAATGGCACTGGTGAGGGGGTGACGTGTGAGCCCCTGCCTGCGGGGGAGGTCTGGGAGTGCCAGATGGGCTGATGGAGGATGTAGGACCAGACAGGCGAGGGGCTCATGTGTGAGCACAGCACGTGTGTGTACATTTGGAGGCAGGGTTTGGCCTCCTCCATCCGGTCCCAAGTGTGTCTGTGCAGGTGGAGGGCAGACAGGTGTGTAGGGCCGTGGCGGAAGGCTGTCAGGGCAGGACTGAGCAGAGGGTGTGTGCCAGCATGGGGAGTTCTGAATGAGAGAGGGCATGCAGGGCCAGGGGGCTCTACCTTCCTGACTGCAGCCCAAGGTGTGGCTGCGGTCGGTGAGAGGAGCCAGGCAGTGCTGTTGATCTGGATGACCAGCAGCAAGGTGACGCGGGTGGGCACTCAGGTGAGGTGGAGGCCACATTGGGTGAGTGCCCACAGTGTGTGACTGACCGTGAAAGGGGTGACTTGGGAGACCCCTTCCACCTGGGGTGCCCACCAGGGAGTCAGGAATTCCGCAGCAGAGTTGGAGTCCCTCTGCTCACAGGAAATCGCCCATCTGTTGATCACTCTTCTGCCCGGGGCCTCTGGCCTCTGGCTGTGCCCCGCCTCCCGAGGTACACCTTGAGAGTTCCCAGTCTGCCTTCTGTGTCTTGAGGCTTCCCCTTCAGTACTGCTCCCCAACTGGCACTCTTTCTACCGGCTCTAACCAGTCTGCCGTATCCACCCATCTTTCCCCACCTCTTACCCCACCCTCTCCCCCTTTCCCGTCTTCCTCGACACCTCTCAGCGTCTCCCCATCCCTCTATTTATGCCTCTTGCCATCTCCGCCCCGTCTCTCTGTCTCAGCCTCTCCATGTCTTTCTCCGTCTATTTCTCGTCTCATCTCTCTGACTTCTCTCTTCATCCTACCGACACACTCTGTCTCTTCCCATATCTCTCCATCTCTCTCTCTCCTCTCCCCTCTCCCTGTCTCTCTCCCATCTCCCTGCCCCTCTCCCCAGCTCCCTGTCTCTCTCCCTCCCTGTCTCTCTCCCTCCCTGCCCCTCTCCCCTCTCCCTGTCTCTCTCCCCATCTCCTTGTCTCGCCCTCCCTGTCTCTCTCCCCATCTCCCTGTCTCTCTCCCTCCCTGCCCCGCTCCCCATCTCCCTGTCTCTCTCCTCATCTCTTTATCTCTGTCTCTCCCCGTGTCTCAGTCACTACCTTCCTCCATCTCTGACTCTAGATCCGTCTCCATCTCTCTCCCTTTCCCTCTACCCCTCCCTCCCCTCGGCCTCTTCTCTCTCACACTGATATCATTTGTGGTATATGCTGTTGCCATGGGAAACCTAAGAAAGAAGTGAGTGTACCCTTCAAGACTTCAGCATCCTCCCTCCTCCTGCTGTCCCCTCCCTCTCTTCCTCCTTCCCTCCCTCCCTCCCTCCCTCTCTCCCCCTCTCCTCCTGGCAGAGCAGAGGGTTGAGGAGCTGCGCACGGCCGCACTGGGCCAGACCCAAGACCCTGTTGCCACCGCTGCTGCTGGGGCTGCCTAAGGGACATCCTTGAGACCCAGGTCAGGGACAAAGCCTCACTGGCTGCAGGGGCCCCCTTTGCCAGCAGACATCTGGTAAGGACAGGTTCCTTATGTCTGTGAGTGTGTGACTGTCTGTGAGCGTAGTTCACATGACCTGGCCCTGCATACCTGTGATGTAGCCCAGCTTCAGCTGCTGCGGGTCCCTTCCTGCCTGTCCCAGGCCCTCCCCGCCCCAAGCCACGGGCACACCAACCTTGTGTCTTCCTGGTTCCCTTTCCCCAGGGCCTCAGAGGCTACCGGCAAAGTGGCAGGCTGTTGGGGGCTGGGACAGTCTTTCCCTGTGGATGAGAAGGAAGCCCCTACTTCCAGATCCTTTGCCTAGCTTAGAGGCTGAGTCTGGCCTGTGCAGGGAATGTCTGCATTGGCTGGGAGTGGGCGCCAACCTCTGGGAAGGTCTGGGAGAACATGGCCTCTTTTCCCTCCAGCGGGGGCTTTCCACCAAAGAGCAGGACTATGGAAGGGCTAGGCGAGAGCTGAGGGCAGGAGATGCTGCTTGCATGTCTGTGGGGTCTTTTC